ATCCTGGGACAGAGGAGAGAGATAGCATGGATGTTACCATATGAGTAGGCTTCAACACTTGCTTTAGAGCAGTTTTGACACAGGGTTGGAAACTTGGGCCACTGTAAGTTTTGTGTGATGGGTAAGGCCTAAGTAAGTCAAAGAAAAAAGTCAGGGCATTGAACTCCTTTCATGCCGTTTTTCGAACTGTTTATAATGAATATGATTTTTTAAGCAAGCAGAATCCCATTTTTAGAGAGGAAGTTCAATTAGAGCCTAGCATGTAAAACATAAAAGAAGAAGCGATGCTTTGGATGAAGTAGGAATAAGGGGCCCAGAGAGCTCCCCACTCCACTTCCTGCTCATCATCACTATTGAAATTTGTGACGGTTTGGATCTACATGCCTCCCTAAAGCCTCAGTGGTCAAAGGTGGCTATTTCAGAAGTGGCTGAATCTAGAGTGTGTGTTGCTGAGATTAAGGGTGTGTGATTACTCACCCAGTCCACTGTTTGGTTTGGCACTGCCCTAATCCCAGTAGTCTGGATAAGATAAAAGGGGGGGAAAGAAGCTGTTAATGTTCCCTTGTGGCTTGTGCTATGACGGGCATCATGACCTGTTTCTCCTCTGTTCCACTCTGCCTTGGAGCCAGCCGATTATGGACTGAAACCTCAACGAACGGTGCGGTAAATAAACCCTTTCCTTTGTAACTTTGGGTGTCAGGCATTTTGTGTCAGCAATGAAAAAAAGTAGCTGACACAAAATCCTAGTGCTCTTGAAAGTCTGTTATAAAAACTAATATATTAATATTTCTACTTTTCTGAAGAATTCTCCAAACTATAGTGAGCAGTAGAAAAAAGTTGTTCAGGATTTGCTGTAACATGACTTTGACTCATTATATACTTTGTAACTTTGGGTGTCAGGCATTTTGTGTCAGCAATGAAAAAAAGTAGCTGACACAAAATCCTAGTGCTCTTGAAAGTCTGTTATAAAAACTAATATATTAATATTTCTACTTTTCTGAAGAATTCTCCAAACTATAGTGAGCAGTAGAAAAAAGTTGTTCAGGATTTGCTGTAACATGACTTTGACTCATTATATATAAATTACCTGGAGAGCCCAGGTATTAAAGTGAGGTGACTGTGCCTAGATAGGGTTAGTCTAATGCACATGGAGACTTTTTTGGGGGGCGCTGTGGATGTTATTTTGAATGTAATGTATCTGAAACTTAGCAGGGCGAACACAAAGAAGATAGATTCTTTTGCTTTGGATATTCTCAATACAGATTTGTGGGATAGTAGCTGAGGTTAGGTTCGCTGTTCTCCATTGAAAAGCAGCAAGAATAAAGTTAAAATGTAATAAATGTCTTTAAAAGAAAATTATAATTGATATATTTTCTGCCCCTTCATTATTTGTTTTCAATAGTGAAGTAAAATAATAAGGTTTAAAGCAGATTTTTAGCTATGGCTTTTAGAGACTTCAGATAAATGCTCAAAAATATAACACATTCTCTAGCTAATTTCATGGACTATTTATTGAATAATTATTAAATGTCAGACAACTATAAAATAGATTATTAGTTATTATGCAAGGCAATCCTCACAGCAACCTTGACAGGACTTACAATTATTATTTTCACTTACAGAATGGAAAACTGATATTAACAGAGGTCAAGGAACTTGTCCAAAATCACCAAGTTCATAAATGTTGAGGCTTAATTTTTAGATCAACTTTCCCCTGTTCTAGATCTCTATGTCCCGGAGCTCCCCCAACCAGTGTCAGCACATAATTTTTGAAGAATTCACAGTGTTTTATTTTGTTAGACAATTATGCCAAACTACAGTGAAAGCACATCTAATACTTTATCACAGGAAAAAATTATTCTACCTTATCCCCACCGTGGGGAAAGACCTGACCTCAGTAAGACAATCACTTCTCATTTTTCTATATGACACATTCATTTTCTACAACCCCAAACTGTTCCCACTGACTGGATTTTAATGTAACTTCTTATACACTTCTCTGTGGACCAGGAAATCAGACTCTTTGATAAAGAACATGGTGCCCATTAGTTTGAAAAACCCATCTGTATCACTGAAGTCCACTTCTATTTAATCTATGGCACCATTACTTCAGTCTCCATTTCTTCAGTTGTTTCATCGTTTTTTCAGTTGTTTCCATGATGATGAAACTGCCCCACATTCCTCTGAAATCCAGTGAACGCTTTCACCCCTGGCCAGAAGGGCTGCAGCTGCAGTGGAGTGCACCTTTGGGAGGCTGGGGAACTGCACGCTGAAGAGAAACAGCAGCCACACAGAAAAGATCCCCAGTGTGGCAGCTGCTTGTGGTACTCTTTGATGCCTTGCATGGAAGGGTGCAAGAACATTATATAAACAAATGAACTCAGGAGATCATTGCATCCCACTGACTTACGTTATTGTGGAAATACGATGCGCCAGCTGGACCAAGCAAAACTAGACACTGCCTTTTAGGTTCCATAGTGATTCTCAGTTGCCTGAAATCAGGACAGAGTTTCCTGACCTAATCAGTGATGGGAATGATACCTTCTACATTAAGATATCACACTCAGAAAGCCACCAAGTAAAGAGAAGCAGTCCAAACTCATCTCAGTAAGTAAGTACAGCCTTGTTATTTTTTGCCTTCTCTTCCTCTTCCAGAGGCACCAAAATATATTTTCTGTGCTTTCACACTCAGAAGAACACGTGGGTGGTGAGCAATCTGTTATGCGCAAGGACTGAGAAACTCCATCTGAAAGGGCAGAGTAGGTGGTGGAAGGAGGCCAGCACCCAAGACATTGTAAGAGCATCTCACAGAGTGTTCAAAGTCAGGAATAATTTTATTGTTCTTTACAGAAACAATGAAGTAGCTTCCTCTCTGCAGGTGTATTGAGCTGTCCTCACATAAAACCCAAGTGTGAATTCAAACCTGCCTTTCCCCATCCATTCTTCATTTTCTCTTCCTAAGCTCTGCAAATTCTTTTGTCCATGTTATTTCACAGACCTTCTCCCAGCCAGGGACATCTCCTTGCCCTTCTGAGCTACAGAGTATTTGCAGTGCTTCACTGAATTGGCCTTTCTGACTTACTTTGTTTAGTGCAAACATTGTCTGTAGTGATTGTAAGCCTCCTAAGTCGCTGGCTTTTGATTCATGAGAGGCTGGAAGGATGGGTTGGAAAATATTCTTTTAAGAAACCTGCCGTGCTAAATATAAAGCAGCTAAACTGGGACCAAAGTCTGCATACAAACCTATGACTGGCTAATGGACAGCTGTTCTCATTTTCATTTGAATTTTCAATACTTGATGTTATTCAAGTTTTGAAAATCAGTCTGTATGCTGTCCCAAAAAGTGCCTAACAAACAAATTGCTTAAGATCTGGGGGTTGTAGGGGATAAAACTACATTTACAACATGTTTATCAAAAAAGAAATCAGAAGACAAGGAAAAATAAACTTTTAAAAAGCCCTGCAAGTTTTGGTTCTTCAGAAAAATCACTTTAGCAATGATTAGGACAGAAATTACAAGAATAGAATGAATAGCAAGCAAGAAGCACTTACCTATTTTAGGAATAATGAAGAAAAAGCACTATGGAGACACTTGTCATTGCATAGCCTTTTTAGAGAAAGAGGCCTCCTTTAACAAGGAGGTTTGTAAGTAACTGTGACATTCTGCACATACCCAATTCTCTAACAAATATTGGGATGTAGACAGTGACTGGGCATTTCTTTAGAAAGCAGCTGTGGTTTAGAAGTGAACTATTTTAAATCATGAAAGAAAGTATCCAAGACAAAAGACTTTGGCTAGAAAAGACAAGAAGCTGCTTTCTCTCCTTTACTGGAACAGCCAATGTAGTAAAACAAAGCAAAACAAACCCCCAAACCCAAGGAAATAAAAAGAATCCTATGTGTTAAATGAGAAGGGGATCAAGAGACGGAAGGAGGGACAAGGAGGGGAAAGAAAGGGGCTGAAAAAATCCAATGCAATGTACATGGCCCAAATCCACAAAAGGAATGTAAACATACCTACGACATGTATGTTGAAATAAATAAATATAAATAAATAAATACTTCAAGATAAGGGAGTGGATGGGAGAATAACTAGGGATTGTCATTAATTTTTTTTTGCATTCTTTTAGGTTTATATCTTCCAACCCTAAAATATCAGGTCACTAAGGGAAGGAGATAGTTCTCATTCAACATGATCATAAAAAGTGTGGTTTTCTTCCTTTTATTTGGTGGATTTGCAGTGCTGAGTATATGATGAAGTGTCTATTTTAATAAGCTGCTATTTTAATTTATTTTGATGAGAATTTTTTATACTTTCCAAGTGTTTGCATCTTGTTTTTGAAGGAAGGACTCAGTAGTGAAGAGAATCATGATGAGCTAATTTTTTAAAATTAATTTTATTGGTACATTTAAGGTATACAATATGATGACATTCATCATTGGGAATTTGCACCTTCACATAGTCCATCTTGGTTCTTTTTTCCCCATTCCCCTGACCTCCTTTCCACCTCTCCACCCCTCCCTATCTACAAAGAATTTGCTTCATTGTTTTTCTTTTTCTCATATTAGGATCTACAGTTCCCAAACCATAAGACATCGGGGATATATTCTGTCAACAGTGGAAGTAATCACATGCCCTAGTGATTACAGAATGGAACTGTAGGACTCTTCTTTATGGGAAAGCACTGAAACACTGAATTTCTTGCAGACCTGAGTGGTCCTCTAGTCTCTCACATCTGGGGGTCAAACTTGATTTCCAGTAGGATTTACCAGAGAGCCTTTCTGTTTTTGTACCTACCCATGGAAGATATGACTGATGATCCACAAAGTTTTATTCTTTGAAGCCAACTCTGAAGTGAAATGTTTTTTGAGTCATCCTATACCTTTTATAGCCTTCTTTTTCAAGTAAGCACTGATATTTACCTGCTCATGTGACTGCATTTCTTTGCTAGAAGAGAGCTGGGAAAGGCTCACCTCCCGAAGGGCTTTCATTTGGGGGGAGGGGTTTGGGGGAGTGGTATCGGGGATCGAACTCAGAACCTTGTGCTTGTGAAGTAGATGGCAGAACCACTGAGCTAAATCCCCAGCCCCTTGAAGGGCTTTCATCAAAAACTGGATGGATGGTTCTGCTACTGTGTGCCTCTGCTTTTAATTTTTATGTCTGAATTATGAAATGCAACCTCTACCAGCCACTGCCAGGAGCTGCAAACATTAATATTGATGTCCAGAAAGGTTGGGAGTCCAGCTGAAAGATAATTTAAAGAGGAGAATTATAAGGGAAAGCATCCCAGTAAATAAATCCACTATACAGTTCACTTACTCTTTCACTCCAAAGTTGAAAGGGAACTTATTTTTCAAGGAAGAGACAAATCCACATAAGATTTGAACCCACTTTGTCTGGCAATCTAGTCACTATGTTTCCATTCTACATTCACCCACTTACCTGTCATCAACAACGTGTATGGTTGACCCGGGATGAACATATCAAGGTTTGTATTGTAGCAGCCAAGGATCTAAATTGTAAAAATAAAGGTGGAGGAAAGACAGATGGGGGTAAGGAAAGCAGATTTGGTCATAACATCAGTTCCCTTGCAACTTTAATCTTCCTTATAACCAACCACATCAATGTACAGCAGACAAATTGTCCCTTTGTTGTTTAGGAACCATCTGCTGAGCCTCAGGCAAATTTTACATTGCATTGCAATTTCAGTTGTGACCTAAAAATGAGAAGAAATTCTGTGGTTCTTACCCTTCTGTTTGGCATTCAAAGGGATGGCCATAAAGTAGAGACATAAATAAAGCAAAACTCACAGGAGACAAACACACAATGCTTAGATCTCCCTCTGGCCTGAGCTTTGCACAGCTGTGCTGCTGGTCACCAACTGGACAGAGGACTAATGTGGAGAGTGATTGCCAACCGGCAGGCCCAGCTCCTGTCCTCGGTGGAGCAGAGAATTGCTTCTCTGCCATTTTCAAGTATGACTGGCAAATCACATTGCTTGATTTTTAATCGGGAACAAAGGTTAGGAATTGTCATGTAAAAGTCAGAACAGTTGTCTTTGGGGGGAAAAATTAAAAAAACCAAGATAAGAATTGAAGACCAAGATACCTCTGATTCTAACTTCATTTTCATAGAGCTGGGGATGTGGTCAGTAGTAGAGTACTTGCCTAGCATGTGCAGAGCTCTGGGTTGATCCCTATAAATCCATAGGATCTCACTTTCAATAATTAGTTTCTCTGTTTCTTCTTTTCCTTTCAAGGATTTAATAAGGATAGATTACAATATCTCACTCAGAGTCTAATCAAATGGAGGCAAATATAAAACAATTGAAACTGTGTAAACATACACAGCTTGAGTAAATTAATGCTTAGATATATATACAAAAAGTCTTTAGAATGAAGGCGTAAATCAGAATTGCCTTCAGAGAAGATGAGTGTCTTAAAGCATGCAATAAATGTGTTTTAATTGTGCAGACTGGAGGACTCGAACATCACAAAGGAATCCACCATCCCTGAGTATTTGGTTTGCGCACCCCTCATTTTATCACAGTACATAAAAGAAGCTTGTAGGGTTCTGGCTTGGTCTAATGGTCAGATCGTCAACTGGACTGCTTAACATTAGCAATATGAATTACTGGCTGAGATGACTGCATGTTTTCCTACCACTGGTCAAGACGATCCACTTTAGCACCTGCAGGCAAAACTCTGTGAGATTCCCCCATACAGACCAGTATTAACCTCAGCCATCCATGTAAATTGCTGGGTGCTTGTGTTGAAATGCAGATTCTGATAAACTAGACTTGGCATAGGACTTGAGCATCTGCATTTCCTATTGATGTCTGTGTTACTTGTCTGGGAGCACACTCTGAAGAGCAGTGGTACAGAAATAGCAGTGAATTCCTTTATACAGCTCTGAAAATGTTTGTGTCAACATGGTATGTGTGTATGATGATGGGGCATTAAAATTGCAGAGCCAAATGTCTTCTAAAAGCCCAAATTGTGCATGGATTCTGTAGCATTTGACACTCAAAGCTCCCTACTAAACAATGGCACAGCATTTTGGTCAAAATCTGGAAGTTGCGCACGGGGGCCATCTGTGACACTGTTATTATCCCCCCCCCAATTGTAGTAGAGAAAAAAATCTTGGATTGCTTTATTAGGTGCATGAGGACTAAAAATTTGATTTTCTTTTCTGTAGCAGTAAAATTGTGTACAGCATCCCTTCCGAACTTGTTGCTGCATGTTTGGTGCAGTTTCTGCAAAGCTGCTTCAGGGTCTTTCAGAAACCTATCTAGACCTAGTCACAAGGGATTCTGTTTTAACAGCTCTTTCAAAGTGTAGTTACTAACCTTTTCTAGTACTTTATTTCACATTTCAGCATTTCTGTTGCTTTTGTTGCTACTCTTAGCATTTAGCAGTTCAACAATGATTTTTTTTTTAATACCTACTTTGTGCAAAAAAGCTCCCAGGGACTCTGAAGATGCATTAAACATGATCAAGCCAACCTGGGTTCAATTTCCAGCTTTACCATGCTTAGCTACTTAACTTTGGGCATGTTTATATAGGCTTTGCCTCATCTGTAAGATGAGGAAAATAATTTCTACTTATGTTGTAAGATTGCAAATGGTAATTTAAATAAGTCTTTAGCATGAGATACAAAAGAACTAAAAAAAACTTGTGGTAGTGATTATATTATTATGATGTCCACTCAAAGACTATCAAAACTTAGCATGGGACCCAAATTTTTCTGCAAATGTCACAATATCTCATTGTATAAAACATTCTGAGATGTAAATAAACAAAATGCTTTGGAGAGCTTGATTGTATTGCTGTTTCTGATAGCTTGTAGAGCTAACGTACTGTTCAGCAATCTTGGTTAATATTCAGTGCAAGGATTTTATTTGAAAGAAAATGACAAGGGAAGCAAAGGCTTAAATTTATAAAATAAATGAGGATGCCAAAAGGAGCTTCTGCAAACATGCAAAGTTTAAATCACTGAAGTCTTACCTCATTCTTCATTTCTTCCTTGAATTAGATCAAATAACATATTGATATCAAGCAGTAATATTTCTTTGGTTTCCTTAACTTTAGTTTCTGAAGAAAAGAGAATTGCCAAGGTAAGGTGAACTTTCAAAATAAAGTTCTGGTGGCCTAAGAAAGCAGAGTTCATCTGTATCACACTATGATCCCAGAACCAAATTAGGCACTCAAATATTTATTGAACTGAGTTGAACTACATTTTTCAATCGTGGTGAAAATATTTATCTCATATGAAAAATATCTTGCACTTCAGATTATAATATTTGTAATACTTCAAAACCAGAGTAAATCCTGAGATTCACTTAAGAAAGCTCAGTTTGTTTTACAAGGTATTGGGATATTTGCCAATGGAAGAAGGCCCGACTCACTGGGTGGGGACTGTTTGAAGTCTGCTTTTTGCAATTAGCTTATGGAAGGATATTTATGGAAATCAACACTGTCAGAAACTACTTAGGTGGCATAGACAGCAACATAACCTTCTGAAAAGGTGACTCAACTACATGTGTGAAGTCAAACAAGTGATTTCACTTTTGGGGGGCCTTCAGTTTTCCTATGAGTAAAACTGGAAGATTGTTCCAAAACGCATGTATATTTCTGTGGATATACTTATTATTACTGTATCTTCGAATGGGTAAGGCAATTTGTCATATAATATTTATATCTTTGAGCTATTTTTCAATCCAAGAACTATCTATAATCTATAGAAATGGTCGTTCTTAAATCACAGAAGCAAGCACAATAACTAGTATTAGTTACAAAAAGTAGTTAATGACATTTTCAGACCCAATTATTATTTTCTAATTTTATAATAAGGAAACATATAGGGAAGGTAAGTTATTGAAAGTCATACAGCTAGAAAGGGATTTTGGATCAGAGCCTGTTTATTATATTCCAAACTTTGAACCTTCATGCCATGCTGACACCTTCTATGCTTTCTTTGATGATAGATGAGCAAGTTAAGACATAAAAGCCATAGAAACACTTTCTCCAGAGATGTCAAGCAGATCCCACTGCTGCCAACAGAATAAATGTATTAGTAAAAGTGAGTAATAACAGAGTTATACCAATAGAAGAATTAAAATTTCCAGTCAGGCAAAACTGAGTTCTAAATGTGAGGTGTACCATTTCTTGGACCTAGGACCTTTAATTAGTCATTTAACTTTATTGTACCCCTGTAAAATGGTGATATGTGATAAACTTCTCAGAATTATTGTGCAGGTTAAATGACTTAACAAAAAATGTGGAGTACCTCTACCTTTGGGGGAGGGAAAAGATCATGAAAGGCTCACAAGAGTAGAAATTATATATGGGAAATGGTTTTTGCCACAGTCGCTGAGAATGCACTTGTTGTTATTATTCTTTGGACACCTCCTCTCCCATCTGGTTTATAAACTTCTTGAAAATAAAGACAGGCCTGGTTATGGTTTCACTATCTGGAATAGCCAGGAGACACTCAAACAGAACAGCCACAAGCCTTATTAAATGTGTCAAGAGTGATATTTGGAGGATATCCTTGCATTTATCTCTGTCCATTGGAATGGAATACAGAGAGGCTAGAAAAGAGGAGATTAGCTGGTGTAGAGGAGAGAAATACTTCCATTTTAATCCTACTAAGTCAGCAGGTCAGAGCTTGTATTGATTCTCTTTTTAAAAAGAATATTAATTTTCCCTAAAAAAATGTGGGTGAAAGACTGAACAAATTAGACCTTGGATTTATTTACTAAGATGCAGACTCTGATTATTCTCTTCTTTAAATCATCTTGCTGTCATACTGCAGGTTTTTGAAACATTAATATTAATGTTGCCTGCTTCTGGCAGAGCTGGATAGATGTGGCATTTTGTAATTCAGAAGTAAAAGTGAGAAGAGCATCACAATTTAAACTCTAATGCTTTTATTGTATCATACGAGGAAGGAAATGTTTAAATATATAAAGTTAGACAACGATTAACATTTCTTAAGATAAGTAATTTCTTGCAAAACAAAAAAGTTCTAGGCTTTTATTTGGACAAAAAGATGCTCAATATCCCATCTCAGTTCTGATCACACTTGGACATAGTTTTAATGCGGGTTTATTTTGGGGGTCGCATTATCTTTTCATTTATTCACTGAATAAATTTGTATTGAGCTCAAGCCGGAAATGGTTAGGAACAAAACAATCTCTGCCAACAGGCACAATTGAAAACTTCTCTTCTTGGTTTAAAAGAAACCAGCAACAAAAAGCCAAGTTTTGATTTGTTCAATCACCCAATAATTGAGCATATATGTAAATCAGCTACTGCGCTGAACATTGAGTTCTTTACCAACGACTAACGACCGTCCTACAGGGATCTCAGTCTAGTGGCATACAAAGTGAAAATAGTAATAAAAGGTGTGCTGAATAGTAGTAAAGCTAGGGAAATGCAGGGAGAGGGGGACTAGAAATGTCTTTCAGCACAGAAAGCACCATACAAAAAAAGAAGGGAGGTGACAGAGAGCTCAGCGGTCGCTGGGAGGGAAATGAAGCCATATACAACCTGTTTCAGCAAAGGCAAGGATTCAGGCAGCCGACGGAAAGGTGCAGGAGGTTAGAGAGATAAGCAAATTCTAGATTGTGCAAGCCAGGTCAAAGAATTTGAACTCAACCCCTACTTGCAGTAAAAGCCCCTCCCTTGCCCAGATCTATCTCATTCTTCCTTGTCTCTGTGCCTGTAGTGCCTGGAGTAGTAGTAAAGCTAGGGAAATGCAGGAAGAGGGGGACTAGAAATGTCTTTCAGCACAGAAAGCACCATACAAAAAAAGATGGGAGGTGACAGAGAGCTCAGCGGTCGCTGGGAGGGAAATGAAGCCATATACAGCGTGTTTCAGGAAAGGCAAGGATTCAGGCAGCCGACGGAAAGGTGCAGGAGGTTAGAGAGATAAGCAAGTTCTAGATTGTGCAAGCCAGGTCAAAGAATTTGAACTCAACCCCTACTTGCAATAAAAGCCCCTCCCTTGCCCAGATCTATCTCATTCTTCCTTGTCTCTGTGCCTGTAGTGCCTGGCAGAGGCTGATCGCATCCACAAGGAGTGAATGCAGAAGCTCGATGTGTGAGGGAGAGAGGTGGCTTTTAGGGAATGGTGTTGACATGACTGAGTTTTTCATGTGTAGAAAGTGTCCTTGTTGTCTGGAGGCTGTGTTCATTGGGAGCAAGGTGGGAGTTGAGGAACCTTGTTTGCAGACCCTTGCATCAATTCTAACAAAAATAGATGGTAGTTTGAACCAGGGAGGAAGCAGTAAGAAAGGGCCTTTCTGCTACTGGGAATAGGAACATTTTGTCAGTTTTCTGTGCAGTCTTTGTATAGTTGGGTTTTTATTTCTAATTTGTGGTTGGTTGGTTGGTTGGTGGGTTGTATTTTTGTAGCATTCTAGAATCTTTATTTCTTCTTATTTTTACCTCTTCCTCCAAAGTGTTCCCCCACCTCCCAAAGGAGCATGTTTGGTCTCCAGTTCTAATGTGGTAACCCCGCAGACACTCTCAGGCAAGTCGCACTCTACTAACTGCGCATTAATTCTTCCTTGTCTCTGTGCCTGTAGTGCCTGGCAGAGGCTGATCGTATCCACAAGGAGTGAATGCTCTAGAAGCTCGATGTGTGTGGGAGAGAGGTGGGTTTTAGGGAATGGTGTTGACATGACTGAGTTTTTCATGTGTAGAAAGTGTCCTTGTTGTCTGGAACATCCACAAGGAGTGAATGCAGAAGCTCGATGTGTGAGGGAGAGAGGTGGCTTTTAGGGAATGGTGTTGACATGACTGAGTTTTTCATGTGTAGAAAGTGTCCTTGTTGTCTGGAGGCTGTGTTCATTGGGAGCAAGGTGGGAGTTGAGGAACCTTGTTTGCAGACCCTTGCATCAATTCTAACAAAAATAGATGGTAGTTTGAACCAGGGAGGAAGCAGTAAGAAAGGGCCTTTCCGCTACTGGGAATAGGAACATTTTGTCAGTTTTCTGTGCAGTATTTGTATAGTTGGGTTTTTATTTCTAACTTGTGGTTGGTTGGTTGGTTGGTGGGTTGTATTTTTGTAGCATTCTAGAATCTTTATTTCTTCTTATTTTTACCTCTTCCTCCAAAGTGTTCCCCCACCTCCCAAAGGAGCATGTTTGGTCTCCAGTTCTAATGTGGTAACCCCGCAGACACTCTCAGGCAAGTCGCACTCTACTAACTGCGCATTATCTCTTGACTCCTCTGTCCCATGAACATTTCCTTTTCTATGCATCTCATTTGGACAATCCGTATTAGTTTGGTTTGGGGCCATATAGATCAGAAGCGCTCGCTCATGCCCTGATCACCATCCAAGTCTTAACTCTCTTCTTCAGACATCGCTTTTCTCTAGTGTGCCAGCTTTACTAGTTACAGAAATGACTGATTGTCACATCATCTCTTAAGCTCCCAAGTGTTCTCTCTGCTGGCTGGCTTATTTCCCACTGATCAAATCAGCATTTGTTGTACTTCCTGGCACTGGCCAGGGAATTTTAAACTCCTTGCAGTAGTAGAAAGTTACTTTCCGTTTAAAGTCCAAGCTAAAAAAAGATTTCCCATTTCAAATTGCCATGTTTATGAACCCCTAAAATTATCCTTGGCGGTGGTCATCATCACATGAGGCATGGATGAGGAATAAAATGTTTTGTGGGTCTCAGCAGAGAGGGTTGGTCATTATCTCCCCTGAAGGATTTTTAATATTTCTAAAGGATTAAACCCTTATGCAGATGATGCAAGTGATGGAGTGTATAACAAAGAAAAAAAATATCCTTTAGCATTTAGCTTTAGTGATGGCCTTGAATGGATAGGGTGTTTGATTAGCAAGCACAGTAGAAAAGAAATTCCTGACAAGGGAAAATGCAAAGACCAAGACAGAGAGGGGAGGAAAGCATGAGGTTGAATAAGATAAGGCCACAGATTCAGTCTGGAGTTGCTTCAGGACATGGAACTACGGAGAGAACTATGGAGAGGTGAAAGTGTGGAGAGTTCTGTGTAAAGGGCTGAAAGTTCTGCTTTTCACCTAACCAAACTACAGGTACAAAGTGGAAAAACAATGCCAT